GCTTTCCATAGGGCAGCCACTGGGGTCCAATGAGGCCATAGGTATGACAGGGAATGTCTGCCTTTGACCAAATATGACAAGGAGAAATTCACTGTCTGACCCACCCACTAAGGCTGCCTCTACATGTGGCCACCTGGGGCTGAAAGGTGGTAGCCCAGGCCCTTGGAGAGACTGGTTTGCCTTTTGATGATCAGACGCTCACAGAGGGCACCCTGCTTCTCTTCACAGAAGGAGATTCCGGAGATCCTTGGTGGCTCCAACAAGTCTTTTGCCCTCCTTTTGATACACTCCATTCTGGTGAGTGAGCTCGGGTGACTGTGGCTCTCCAGAGATTCATTCATTTATCAAACTTCCCTGGGTCACAGTCAGAGGTAGGAGCTGGGCATGTAGACATTCCTCATTCATTCATTCATTCATTCATTCATTCAATAGACCCTTAGTAGATATAGGCCCACCACCCCTTACCCACAATCCCCAAATCCAAAAAGCTCTAAAAACCCAAAGGCATTTCGTAACATGCATGGCAGCCCAACCTGACCTAGACTGATCTGTGGCCACTAAGTCTTCACTGTTCTCACAAGTCAATTGACTTTATTTTTCCCACTATTCATATGTTTCTCTGCAGACATATTAATATGGGTGTCAGGATGCTGTTCCCCACCCCAAGCATGTCATATAATATGAAGCATATGTACTGAAGGATTTATCTGCAATTTGCCAAGTTGTGAACTCTGAAACACACATGGGATTGGGGACCCATATTCACTACATGCCAGCCAGGCTTTGTGTTAAGTTCTAGCAGTACCTGTCATTTTCTCATTCGTTCATTCATTATTCAGTAATTAACTCATTCATTCACTGCACAGGCACATCAGTGTCCGGGCTTTCTCTAGACACTAGCATTTAGTGATGGACTCCTTCCTTCTTACCATGACATGTATTCAGTGCTAGGTTCATTTCATTTATGGAACAAATGTTTACTGGGTGTCCACATGCTCCAGCACTTCCCCAGACACTGGAGTGCAGTGTGGATGGGCTTCAGGCTAGTGCATACAGGCCAGAGCACAGGAATGTCCGGGACCTGTGGTGCCCATGGGAGGGCAGGCGGCTCTCTCCCTTGGGGAGAAGTAACCTGTCTAATGATGGAGGGACGGGGTGAGTAGGGTCTGCAGGAGCCCAGAGGACAATCGGGAGCAGAAGGGTGTGTTGAGATCAGCTGAGGGGTTGGTTGCAGCAGGAGAGGGGCTGGCAGCTGTTATAAGCTATGGAAGGAGTGTAAACTTCATCCCCAAGGCCTGGGAACAGAAGGAAGAGTGACATGAATTGATTTCCACATTGGAAAGAGCTGTCTGGCTGCAGAGTGGGCCAGAAGTGGGCAGGGGATCCTCAGGCCCTAAGACTTGTTGGAGGGATGCTTGTTGCACCTTGATTGTCTGATGATGGGAATTGGGACTAAAGTTGGAGAGATATTTAAAATGTAAGTTGGATATTGGAATCTCTCAGGCTGGATTGGAGATGGCCTCCTGCAGGAAGTGGTCATTGATCTGGCTTTAGGGGAAGGGAACACTTGGGCAGGAGGGCATTCAAGGAGATTAGGTGTCTTGAGCCAAGTCCCAGGTCGTGTGGCAAAGTTCAAGATGAACAGATGGACAGGCTGTCTCTCCCAGGCCCGGTTGCATGCTGGGAGCCACTTTTCAAGTGGTAAGTAGTTCTCTGATGCAGAAGGCATAGCCTTGCACTGGAACCCTAGGGGTTTGCACTGTGACTGTCCTATCGGGTCTCTCCAGAGACTCCACACAGCACCTGTACCCATCTTGGATACCTCCAGCACCATGTGGTCTGCCAGTCATCTGGTCCATGTGGCCAGCTCCCTGCTCCACAGCCTGGACCACTAGAGAGCCATTTCTTCCGTCAGCCTTCTGAGGACCCGATAAACGACTTTGTGCGGCACTCCCAGATGTGGCATATGCTGCAACACTTGCAAAGCCCAAAGGACCCTATCAAGGCCTGTGCCACTGTCTTTGTGGTAGGAGATTGAGGTGCAACAACATGCCCAGCATTCCCCCCAGCACCAGACCCCTATAAACATCACCACTGGGGCAGACCCCAGATTCCTCATAAAGTTTACCTTCCACCCTCTGCCATTTGTGCTCGGGGCAAGTGGAGGGGAGAAGACTGGGAGGAAGGCTCGTGCCCAGTCAGAGAAGGCATCGAACGCCCTGTGAAGACTCTCGACAGTAGGTCTCAGGGAATCGAGAGAACTGACGGCCTGCTCTGTGCCAGGCAGAACGCTTGTAAAATCCTCCCTACACCTGGTTTTTTCATAGATGAGGGAACTGCAGCTCTAGGAGAACAACTAGCTTAGGTAAAATAGCAAAGGGCTGGAGGCAATGCTGGCACCAGGCAGGGCCGGTGTCATGGATGTGTGGCCTAGGGTCATACACAGGGTTAATGTTCTGCTGTCACCATCTTAAAATTTTCAATAACTGTGAATAAGGTGGCCCACAATTTTACCATGCACTGAGCCCCACAAATGATGTAGCCAGCTCTGCCCAGAAGTGACACTTTCTGAAACAGAAGAGAGGCATGTGTACTGTGTCTAGGACATGGGATTTGGATGCAGATAGTCTTGGGAAAGGATCATGACTTCACTAGTTTGGACCAACCACTAAACCTCTTTAAGCCTCAGTTTTCTGTTCTGTGAAATGGGATAGTTTTGACACTTGCATCCTAGGACTGCTATCTGGATTAAATGAGCCAATGCATGTAAAGCATGGGGAATCATGCGTGCGCAAGCAAGGGCTTAACATGTTGGCCACTGTTGCTGACTTGAGTCTCCTGTGACCATGATATTTTACAGCACATCCCCACCCCGTGTATGCACCTTGTGGCTAATGAATACTTCCACGGCAAGCACTCCATGGTTGAAATCCGAGACAGTTTACTGGACTTGTTTGGAGATGTGTTCTTTGTGGTTCCTGGGCTGGTCACAGCTACATATCACAGAGGTGAGTCTCTGAGCACCCTCCCCCCAGGGCCACAGCCCCTTGAGGGTGGCAGCCACAGGGACCCATGCCCCTCTGTTCCCTCACTGAGACGGAGGTCTCAGGGATGTCTGGAATGAAACTGTGCTGTGCTGACCTTTGCAATTTCCCTGCTTTCAGAGTTTGGGAATATTGGTCAGTTATGCTGTTTCTGCTTCTTCCTCTTCTTCAGGACCATCCAGAAAATTCCCACCCCATAATTTTCTGGGGCCTGCTCCCCATGTTCTTTTCTCTCTGGAGATATCTTCCCGAATATCTTAGCTATAAGGAGTAGCGGAACAATCAGAAAGAGATGACTTGTGGGGACACAAATCTTTCCTTCCCTCCTTGCTTGCTTGCTTCCTTCCTTCCTTCTTTCTTTCCTTCCTTTTTTCCTCCCTTTCCTTCCCTTTCCTCCCCTTCCTCCCCTTTTAACAAATATTTATTAAGGGACTACTGTGCACCTG